TTTTTTTTTTTTACATCGCAAAAAAAAATTTCCTGTCAACAACTATTATAATATCAATTATATCAGATATTTCTGTATATCGATCACCTTCATTATCTATATTTTTATTTTTATCGAAAAATAAAATGTTTGTTTTTTCAGGGGAGAGTACTAAAGTAAAATCGTTAATTTTTAAAATGAAATACGTACATTTCGTTCTTTACAAAGAGAACTCAAATGCTCTTTACCGAAATTAATAATTTTTATCATAGAGATAGATATTTATCATAATTGATTAATTTAAATATGGATAAAGATTGTGATACGTTTTGTTCCACTGTTAATTAAATTCTTTCCTTTCACTTTGATTCATCGGCAAGGAAATCCGTTTAAATGAAGTTTCACGACAAAAATAACGCAATCTCCTCTGACGGTATCTTTAAGGGTTAACGAACGTCGGTGAACATTTGCAAACATTTCGCGCGGCATTGGATATACCCGACTTAACGAACCTACGAGCCGTAGACCACAGAGAGTCCTCTTTGCCGTCGTTGGTAGAAAATCAAAGAGTCTAACAACTCTCTCGAAATAAAAGCAACGAAACCCGTGTATGTAACGTATACTTCTGCGATCCGCGTGCAACATAATGGTCGGTTGTATTACCCAGTTCAAAAATTTTCTTGCGTTTGAAACGTTCGATCTTCGCGCCGTGTTTCTTTCTTTGGATAAATAAAATTTGGAATAATATTTTTAACAGATGTTGACAACAAGTTCGTTTGAGCAATTTGAAAGAAATTTATAATAATTTTTAATAACATTTACATTTTTCGTAACATTTGAACATTTATTTTTAATTTGAGATTCATTTCACTTTTGCCAATCTTTAAAAAATTGTTGAAAATAAAAGATATAGATTTAGAAAGGAAAGGATAAAACTTTCGAAAATATTTATTGTCGAAAGTATTCCTCGAAATGGTAATATTGCGTTTAATAGTGAAAATAACATTCTCGTCGCAATGACTAATCGCAAGAAATAAAATTATTTCGATTCGCAACGAATTTTTATTATTTATTTTAGCGCACGAATCATAAACGCGTTATTTTAATCTTAAACTTTCTTTCTTTTTTTTTTAACTTTTACAAATTTATATAATCGATCAATCAAATCGAAACGCTATCTTCGTCTCAAATATCCAAAAAAAAAAACCACCTACCAAATTTTTCTTTCTCCTAACGCTTTACGATTAATAATAAAATAATTCTAACGTATATCTAATTTTAAAAATCTTCGATGACTCGACAATTTTACCTTCCCTTTCAAAATTCTAAATTAACCAACTTCCC